TAGCGACCCTGTATAGGGTTTCCAAGGAATGGCTGGTGGGTTTGAACCACCAATCTTGCTGTTCAAGCTGACCTTGCAGTCCAGTGCATTATCCTGCAATGCCACACCAGGGCCATTGTTCTTGCATACCTCTCAGCATGTTCATTTACCTCCGACAAGTTGTGCTGACTTTCCCCCTATTGTGTATGGCCTTTCCCGTCACCAGTAGCCACTTCCTTAAAAAAACAAAATGAAACAAAAACCCCACTAAGTTGTTGATTCTTACTCAGAGTAGAACTGCCCTTTAGGGTTTCCAAGACTGTAAATCATGGTGCTGTAGGATAACCACAAGGTTAGTGTGAATTGCAAGGTTGGCAGTTCAAGGTCACCAGCTGCTCCTTGGAAACCCTATACAGGGTCACTATGAGTTGGAACCGACTCAATGGCACTAAACAACAACAACAATCTTTACAGAAACAGACTACCACAGTGTTCTCCTGTAGAGCAACTGGTGGGTTCATACTGCCAACCTCTCAGCACCAAGAGCTTAACCACTGTGCCACTTTTTTTATCTACCTTGAAATGATCTTAAAAAATAAGGTGTGTAAGTAGAAGAGGGAAAGCAGTCAATTAGAAAAGATAAGGTGTTGTCATTAGGTTCATCCAGGACTGATAGTGCAATGATTAAGCACTTGGCTGCTAACCAAAAAGTCAGCAGATTGAGCCTACCTGGTGACTTCATGAGAAAAAAGACCAAGCCATCTGCTTTAGGATTACAGCCTAGAAAACCTTATGGGGCAATTCCACTGTGTCACTTAGACTCGCTATAAGTCGAAATCAACTTCATGGCACACGACAACAGGACTGGGGTGGTGGTAGTGGATTTGGTACCTGGATAAGTTCTAGGAAAGAGGTTTTCCTGGCAGCATAGGAAAGGTAAACACGAAGGAACAGTAAGCAATTCAGCTAGAACATAAGTATTAAGAGTTCCAGCTGAAGCAAGAATAATCATAGTCCTTCTTGACATTGAAATCAAAGAAAGTAGAATGTGTTCAAGGAGCCCTATGGATGATGTGGTTAAAGCTCTCAGATGCCAACCAAAGGTCAGTGTTTCAAACCCACCAGCTGCTCCAAGGGAAAAGATGTGGCAGTCTGCTTCCATAAAGATTTACAGCTTTGGGATCTCTATAGGTCAGTTCTACTCTAACCTATAGGTCTATATGAGTTGGAATTAACTTGATGGCAGTGAGTTTTGAGATTAGTATAATTCGGTCCTGGTGTGGTGCTGTAGGACAAGCACTGGACTACTAACCACCAGGTCCTAGGTTCAAATTCACCAGCCACTTCTTGGAAACCCTAAACAGAGTTGCTGTGGGTTGTAACCAACTTGCTGACACTTAACCACAACAGCAACATAGTGTGCTTACCACAGATTCAAGCATAGATGAGGCAATGAATAAATATGTCTTTATTATCTCTGCTTACCTTCTCTTCTCCCTCCTTCCAGAGATCACTGAGGTTAGCAGAGTTGACCCCAGTAGGATAAAGGAAGAAAAGGCATGCTCGCATTCTTGTCCATCACATCCCTGGCATCCCCAGCTCAGGAAATAACTCTGGAATTGCTATCCAAGATGGGATGATCAGGAAAAGCAGCTCCCCACCCCATGCCTTCCCTAACAGCCCCAGACATTAACCGATAGTTGGAAGAAAGGGTTTGCTGAAGGAAGTGAATACATTTTCAAGTATGCAAGTTGGCTCTTTGTTTTTCTGCATTTTAGTTTATCATGCTTGTTTTCCTAATACCTGCAGAAAGAGATTGTTCCTTTGTACATAAACATTCATCCTGAAAGTCAGTATCTTAAGGTTTAGATATTGTTTTTTTGAATTGCCAAAGTCTAAGGATATAAATACAGAGTGAAAATTACCTGTGATAAACAAAGGATAAAAACATTTTCTCTTTCCTTCTCATATATTTATGTTCATTTTTTTAAAAAAGGAGCTTTTCACCGAATCATGTCACCTCTTTCTCTCATTTCTCTCATATTCTCATAGTTGCTTTCATTTTCTCACTACCTACTTCCTGAAGAACCTGAAATAATCTGGCTGTCATTCCACTGTTCCACTGAACAGTGTTTTCATTGGAAGGAATTTATAGAATGTCTTATTCAAACCCTTCATTTTTAAAATAAGAAAACCTGAGGCTTCAAGTGGCTTGGGAAAGCCAGGGGTAGCACGGACTTAGCACACATGCTTCCAGATCCCATTCTCTGCCCATGGCTGACATCAATAATCAGTTTTGTACTCTGTCCCTTCCACTAAGTCTCCAAGTCGTTCTCAGTAGAATTCTGTAGGCAGCCAATGCCAGCCACTCAGCACTGGTAGCATAGTGGTTACAAATCGGGCTGCGAACCTTAAGGTCAGTGGTTCGAAACTACCAGCCGCTCCGCGGGAGAAAGATGAGGCTTTCTACTCCTGTAAGGATTTACACCCTCGGAAACCCTGTACAGGGTCTCTATGGGTCGGAACCAACTCGACGGCACTTAACAACAACAACAACAACAACAGCACTGATACAAGATCTGAAACCTTTGCTGTCCCAGGCCCGTAATCACATATAAAGCCTTGAGTATAAGAGTTCCAGCTTAAGCAAGAATAATCATAGTCCTTTTTTGACATTGAAATCAAAGGAAGTAGAATATGTTCAGGAGCCCTATGGATGATGTGGTTAAAACTCTCAGATGTCAACCAAACGTCTGTTTCAAACCCACCAGCTGCTGCAAGGGACAAAGATGTGGCAGTCTGCTTCCATAAAGATTTACAGCTTTGGGAACTCTATAGGTCAGTTTTGCTCTATCCTATAGGGTCTATATAGGGACACTTAACTGTAAAAACTATATCAAAGGCAGTGACAAAGAGTCATGTTTAACTGAGAGCCAGAGGAGTAGGATAAATAGTAAATGTTACCGGAATCCAAAAAAAAGTAAGTAATGACTTTTCAGTATTGAGCTGGGCCTTGAAGAATGAAGAGAATTTAAATAGAGAATGAGACTGAGAGAATGCTTTAAAGGGAAACCACATGAGCAAAGGCATGGATGATTTCTCAGAGTCAAGCACATACCAGTTTGGCTAGAACAGGTGCTTCAAATTGGTAAATAGTAGGGAACTTGGAAAGATTTCTTGGGGTCAGTGTTAGAGATATTCAACTGAGAAGTTAAGATTTTATCCTATGGATTAAAATACTGACAAAATTTTGAGCAAGGAAATGATTTGGCAGAATCATCATTTTAAATAGGATGTTGTTGTTAAGTGCTGATCATGCACACAGTGACTCCATATACAACAATATGACAGAATGAGGTGTTGTCGATCCTGGGCCATCCTCACAGTTGTTGCTCTGTTTGAGCCCATCATTGCAGACTGTGTGTCAATCCATCTCTTTGAGGTCTTCCTCTTTTTACTGACCCTCTACTTTACCAAGCATGATGCTTGACTGCCACTTCCATAGGCAATGCTTTAAAGACTTTTACTCCAGTGACTTGGCTTATCCTGAAAACATGTCAAAGGAAGTGAAGAGTCTCACCATCCTTGCCTCTTAAGAAACATTCTGACTATACTTCTTCCAAGACAAATTTGTTCCTTCTTCTGGCAGATCATTGTCTGAGGATAAGTAAAAAAAAGTTTTACAACCAGGGTTCCAATTCATACGTGCACAGGTCCATTCCAAACAACACAGGTTTAAGCATGTGTCTGAGATCTTCAGACAATAATACACTTGTTTTAGTCTCATTAAGGTATATGCAAATAAAGATCCAATCAAAACAGTGGCTTCTGAGAGGATCTTCTGAGCCAGTTAAATTCAAGGCAGAGAGCTCAGCTCAGAAGGTTATGGCAACTGTTTTTGGGGATTCCAAAGTGGTGAGCTTGGTAGATTTTCTCAAAGGACACAGATGATTATGGAAGCTTATTGTGACAAAGCTTAGTATGAAGAAGTTTATTCCTCAAAGCACTTCAACGCTTTAAAGATCTCTTTTGCAACTGATTTGCCCAATGCAATAATACATCATTTGATTTTCTTGACTCTTACTTCCATAGGCATTGATTGATACAGAATAATTTGTTCAGTTATATACAGGAAGAATAGGGAAGCTTATTAGGAAACTTTTCCATTTCCAGGCCTGAGGAAATCATGATTTTGTTCAAAGGAAGTATCGATGTAAAACAAAAGAGAGAGAACATGTTAAAGATGCCTTAAAATAAAAACAGACATAGAATTTGATGACCTAAGTCCCAGAATGGTGAAAATTAACATTCCTGGCTAGTACCCAAAAAGTTGGAGGTTCAAGTCCACCTAGAGGTGCCTCAGAAGGCCTCATGATGTACTTCCCCAACATCAGCCTTTGAAAACTCTATGGTGTACACTTCTACTCTGACACATGCAGTTGCTATGAGTTTGAGTTAACTAGATGGTTACTGGTTAGTACTGATTAATGACTGTAGAAAGGGTAATCAAAGAAAATAGAGGCAAAATATTTCTCTGAGGTGTTAAATTATGGTTTCTTTGAACTAAAGAAAGAAGTCAAGAGGAAGAGCTGGTTTGTCTATAAGCTGGTCCCTGTTTTGATATGCACAATTTGGTATTCTCTGGAATATTTTTCACCTTGTAAGGAAAATTTAATGCCTTTGGTTTATATCTGGCTTGGAACTGTCATAATTTGCTATACATACCAGGACATATCTACGGGGCTTTGCAGTTTAGTGCTGCCATCGACCCTCAACCGCTGCCAAGTTGCCACTCTAGTCATCTGGGTGATTTTTTGAAACCCTGAGCCTTTTGAGTTTCATGTAGCAAAGGGATGTCCTTTTTTCATTCTCTACAAAACACTTTATGGGTTTTGCCCGTATGTTTGTCATTTGTATTTCTTTGGCTTTATAAAGCTTTTCTTATTCTGTCTTCTAGAGTGTTCAATCTGCCATGTTAAACAAAATTTCCACAAATAGAATATCTTGTTTTGTTTTCAAAGGATGCAGAGTGTTATAAACCGACTGTCCAAGTTACTGAAACCTGGGGGAATGTTGTTATTTCGGGACTATGGACGATATGATAAGACGCAGCTTCGTTTTAAAAAAGGTAACATTATTTTCGTTTGGTGTTGTCACGTTTTTGTTTTTTCAAAAGAAATACTAAGTTTCTCTTTTCACTATTATTTCTTTTATAGGGTGTTGTCTATCTGAAAATTTTTACGTTAGAGGAGATGGTACCAGAGCGTATTTCTTCACAAAAGGTATGTTTACCTTCAAGAGGAAGTAATTCACTGGTAAAAGTCTCTTTGGTTACTATTTGCAAGGAGAAACTTAGAGACTACAAAAATGAGCCTGCCGTGGTTATCAGACACCAGAGGCTTTCACAAGTTGGTGTCTGTAACTTGTTCAAGATAAAAGCTTGAAAATGACCCTTGTGTTTTTTGGTCTTTTTTCCATTTGAAAGTGTTTCCAGAGTCCCTTGTTTCACCCTCATAATCCAAATAAAGACGTGCTCTGTTCCAGTCTGGAGGCTCTAATAGACGGATATGAAAAACGCTGATGATATGCCACAGCCAAAGGAGGACATTTGTGTTGATGAGTCCATAAAAAAATTACTTATCTTTTGTCAGTTTCTCATTTAAAAAAAGCATTTCTGACAGTACCAAATGAATTCTGCACGTAAGGACTTTCTCCAAACTTATGTGAATACTTTTTATAATGCATCATTTGGGGGTCCCATAAAAACTCAGAAAGGGGTACTATTCAATATATTCCAGGCTGCTGTCAGCAGTGTTGTATGTTTGTTTATGCCTGCTGAGTTAGCCTGTCTACAGTTAATGTCTTTGTGTGAAGTTAAAGGAACCCAGTGGTTTTGCAGGTTTCCTTCACCAATTTGTACTGGAGACTGTTTTTTGTGTAAATGAAGTGTACACATTCAATCATTCCATTAATGTTACATTGTTCCTTTTCTCCTCCCTCATCTCCAGTCACATGTCATATTTGTGATTGCCACTTTTGTCTCATAGGGGAAGTCCACAATATGTTCTGCAAAGCTGGCCTAGACGAGAAGCAAAATCTGGTTGATCGTCGCTTACAAGTTAATAGGAAAAAGCAAGTGAAAATGCATCGAGTGTGGGTTCAAGGCAAATTCCAGAAACCATTGTGCTTGACTCAAAATAGCTCCAAACTGTGTTTTTCACTCCTTTCTGGTAATTGAACTATATACCATGTTAAGAAAAACAAAAACAAAACCACCAGATGACTATATTATTCAAAGTCTTCAACAAAGCTTTCAGTTGTTAAATTCTAAATGACAATCAGGAGAAAAGAAGAGAATTTGTATATCCTACTGTTTTATGAAACCCTATACAGGGTTTCTATGGGTCAGAATAGACTCGATGGTACTTAACAACAACTGTTTTATGATGGGTGAGCTCTTTTGTGCATTTTAAGTACATGTTAAGTGATTTGTGAAGAGTGTTTTCTATATTCTGTGTTTTCAAAACTCAAGTTTGTTTGTGTTTATTACATCTAACGAGTATGTTTATTTTTTGAAATTTTTAAGCATTGAATTAAATTACTGATATATGTCAGATAATTTTGAGACTCCATCACTTGTTATTTTTCAGAAGTGGAGAACCATCTGCTTTACTTATACATGAGGCATAGTAAGTCAGTTCTCAAACACAGCCAAATGGTTGTCCATTGTTATCTGATACCACAGAGACAGCATGCCTTCTTTCTAGGGGGAAAGTCTCAACAGGCCTAAAACTAAGGTATATTGTTGTTGTTTGTGTTGTCCCAAAAACTTTTTTATTTATTTTTTAATTCAGAGACTAATTGTCTGAAATGGAATTTTAGTGTCTCTTTCCTAAATTGAGAAAATATGGCCCATACTAACATTATCTTCAAGCTATTCTTAGATGTATACTTTGTTCCAAGCTCTCTTTAAGACCACTGTCAAACCCAAGACAATGCTTTAATTGTGCCAATTAAAAATTTATATATCACCTTGCCTCAAAAGGAATATGAGTTAGCTTGTAAATTATGCTGTATAGAAATGGACTTTCAAAGACTAGTATTCATTTGTTACACAAATATTTCCTGAGTACTGACAATGTGCAGAATGAGTACAGTAGAATAACATAAGCAAGACGCAGTCTGTCTTCAGGGTGCACACATAAGGCCTAGATGGCAAAGCAAAACATGCTTTTACTAAACCTTTGAATCATTGTTGTTGTTGTTAGGTGCCATTGAGTCTGTACCGACTTATAGCAATCTTATGTACAGCAGAAGGAAACACTGCCCGATCCTGGGCCAACCTCACGTACTGTTGCCACGCTTGAGTCCATCAGTGCTGCCAATTGGGCAATCAGTCTTGTTGGGGGTCTTCTTTTTCACTGACTCTCCAGCTTGTTGTTGTTGTTGTTATGTGCCATGGAGTCAATTCTGACTCATAGTGACCCTGTACAGGGTTTCCAAGGCTGTAAATCTTTATGGGAGCAGAAAGCCTCATCTTTCTCCCATGGAACAGCTGGTAGTTTCGAACTGCTGTCAATAAGGTTTGCAGCCCGATTAGTAACCACTATGTTACCAGAGCTCCTTGAGCCTCCACCTTACCAAACATGATATCCTTCTCCAGCAACTGGCCCCTCCTGACAATATGTCCAAAGTATGAGTGATGAAGTTTGGCCGTCTTGGCCTCCAAGGAGCACTCTGGCTGCACTTCTTCCAAAATGGATCTATTGGTTCTTTTGGCAACCCATGGCACTTTCAATATTCTCCTCCAACACCATAACTCAAAAGCTGGAGAGCAAGTTTCAGTGTCTCTTCTGACATCCATTTTGACCTTTTCCTTCTTTCTTGTCTTCTCAATGACTTTTTGCTTTGTTCGTGTATGATGTTCTTGATGTCATCCCACAACTCTTCTGGTATTTGGTCTTTAGTGTTTAATGTATCAAATCTGTTCTTCAGATGATCTCTAAACTCAGGTGGGATATATTCAAGGTCATATTTGTCTCTTGTGGACTTGTTTTCATTTTCTTCAGGTTCAGTTTGAATTTGCATATGAGTAATTGATGGTCTGTTCCACAGTCTGCCCCTGGCCTTGTTTTGACTGATGATATGGAGCTTTTCTATCGTCTCTTTCCACAGATGTAGTCATTTTGATTTCTGTGTATTCCATCTGGTGAGGTCCATGTGTATAGTCATCTGTTATGCTGTCTAAAGAAGGTATTTGAAATGAACAAATCATTGATTTTGCAGAATTCTATCATGCGTTCTCCAGCATCATTTCTATCACCAAGGCCATGTTAAAGTACTGATCCTTCCTCTTTGCTCACAACCTTTGCATTCCAGTCACCAATAATGATCAATACATCTTGATTGCATGTTTGATCAATTTCAGATTCAAGAAGTTGGTAGAATTCTTCTATTTCATCTTTACTGGCTTTTGTGATTGGTACGTAAATTTGAATAATAGTGGTTAATGGGCCCAACCCATTAACCAGCAGCACCACACCAGGACTCCATTCCAGCCAGGCCACATGTTATAAATGAACTTTGAAGCACCAGACTGCAAAGCTGTTTGAACTATAGGGTCGGCGGTTCAAGCTTATCAGCCGCTCCTCATAGACCCTGTACAGGGTTGCTATGAGTCAAAACTAACTCGACGGTACTTTACAACAACACCATGGGCTGGAATGGAGTGAGATCAGAGATCAGGGGTTCAGAAGACCACATAAAGGTTTCTATAATAACTGGCAAGTCCTCAGAAATACTGTATCAAGGTTTCTGTTTAAACATGCACAAGTCAGTAAATGTAAAAATTCATTTTTTTCTGAGGCTCTTAGCTCAGTTATAGTTCATAATTACAGTATACATTTAAAAGCCAAACTAGTAATGAAAAGATTACATACAACAAGGGCAGTCTAGATAAGTTAATGTTGCTATGGGAACCCTAGCACATCTTCTTGTTTCTCAGTTTTAAAATCGTGGCCCAAGGTAGTTTTAAAAACAACAGAAGGTAAAATTATTCTCATATTCTCACACATGTAAATTGTACTGTCTCTCTTAGTCCTAAATAGCAGATTCAAGCCAGTCTCTTGACTGGCATGGTGAAATTCAACTTTATGTATTTCTATAATGTATTACAGCATGTAAGTTAACCTTTAGAAACTTCAAAAATATATCACCAAAATTGGACTGTGAGACACAAAGTGGGCTCTTTTGGGCCTCGTCCAGTGTAGCCTTCCTGTTCCTAAACCAACTCCCTACTGAGGGTTGGCTGCTGGGGGTTGGAGGGGTGGGGGGTAGATGTAGGCTTTGGCAGAAGAAGAAAAGGGAAAGACCTGGTTTGGAATTTTGCCTGCAGATACTAAGAAATAATGAAGTGTTTCAAATGTTATTTGCTTGGAAGTTAGTTTGAAGTATTTGATAACTGCATGAAACTCTAATTTCCCCCTCAGGTCCAAAAAGCTAGGGCCAGAGTTTGATATTTAAAATTTTTGCCTTCTGAAGAAGTTGAATTTCAAAAGGACTATTTTCTTTCTAATGTTGTTATGTCTATTCTGACCCATAGGGACCCAAGGAGCAGCTGGTGAGCTTGAACCACCGACCTTGCAGTTTAAAGGGCTTTGCAGTCTGATGCATTAGCCCAGGGCACCACAACAGGACTCCAGTGTTTAGTTCTTCATCTCCTTATGATACAGAAACAATGATATAACACTTATTAAAAATATGACCTCCATTGTTCCCCATTTCTAAAAATTCCATTTGGGGCATTGTTCAAATGTAAAAATTCTCACACATCTGAGCAACTGTTTCCCAAGGTTCTAAGGAAGACAAGATGCCAGTTTTTGTTAGAGAAGTTTTGCATTCAGTATGACACAATGTTGTGTTGAAGCATCTACTTATTGTTACCTTCTGAGAACTTATTTGCCTTACTTCTCTCAGCTCCATATGCTTTGTCTCTAAATTGTGAACAAATCCTGGCTCTATCATTATGTAATTTAAATCATCACTGTACTCTAGTCTGTATGTGGAATTTCACCCACATGCAAATAACAGGTTTCCTTGGGGACAAAGCATAAAGCCATCTGAACCATTTGGACTTCAGGTAAATTCAGCCCCTGGCCAAAAGCTCCCCATGCTATATAATGGATGGTTTCCCAGTTCATCAAAGCCAAGTTCTGAAGCCTGAATATTTCATGCTTTGTTACTTCTAATTGGTTTAATGTTGATTGGGCTCCTCACAAGTGCAGATCACTTCACATTTGCATCACTAATAGAGCTTTCTTTCAAAGCCTTTGTTCCTTCTGTTTCCTGCCTTTATTAGTCATCCACAGACTACATGTTGATGTGGGTATTTCCCCCACTTGTGAAAGTGCATTATTCATTCTAAACCACTAAATATATGTGCAGCATTGTTATTAATCACAGCATTGAAAACCTAAAGCATCTTCAACACACAGAGTACCTAATAACACACTTGTACCTTTTCAGTGGTCTATGAGACATTGTGAGAAAGACAGTGTGAAGCCATGGAAAATGTCTTGCCTTAGAGTCACAAAGGAAACAAGTCACCAAGGAGCCACTGGTGAGTCTGAATTCAGCATTGGCCTTGTGGTTCAAACCAACCTTGCAGTCTAGTGCATTATCCCACAGCGCTACATGCTGTGGGTTAATGTGCCAGACTGCAAAGCAGTTTGAACTGCAAGGTCGGTGGTTCAAGCTCATCAGCTGCTCCTTGGAAACCCTATACAGGGACTCTATGGGTTGGAATTGACTCAATGGCATTTCACAACAACAATGTAGCTCTGAATGCTTAATCTTCACACCCCTGGGAATTCGTTTTTATTACAGCCATTTCACAGATGAGACCGGGGTTCTGAAATAATGGGGAACTTGCTCAGGGTATCACAGCAAGTGTGTGCCAGAGAGAGAATTCAGACCCCAAACTGTCTGATTCCAAAACCTCTGCTTTCATCGCTACATTTTCAGTAGACAGGTTCAAACACAGCTTGGAAAGGTACTAGTACGAGAAACGTTGTCTATACTGACAAACGCTTAAGTAATCCAATATGTACTCATTTTAGTGAGAGTGAGGTTTTTTTTAATGCAATTTTGCAAAATCAGGTGCCCTGCTCCCGTAGACAAGAGCAGGTGAAATGCATAGCTATTTGACAAAGAGTTTATTAACCTAGCTCGGAAAAAGTC